GGGGTGGGGGGTGGGGGGCGTGGAAGTCCAGGCTTCCCATGTGATCTCCACTGACGTTGAGGTGGGGCTTTCATGTTCCTAGCCATCGGAATGAAAGTCCCAGCTTCCTACTTGGCCTTCTCTGACAAAACCCTGGCAGGAATGTTGGGACATCTCATTACAGCTTTGTGAGGGCGAAACCTAAGCTTCTCATTCAACCTTTGCTGGCCTGGATGGAATTGGGGTCGTGTTTTTTTCTGTGGTGTTTGGCGAGAGAAGAGTAGTTATTATCTAAACCAGTGGTTCTCAACCTTCCTAATGCTGCGAACCTTTAATACAGTTCCTCATGTTGTGATGACCCCCAATTTCATTGTTACAAATTGAACACAATTAAAGCATAGTGATTAATCACAAAAACAATATGTAATTATATATGTTTTCCGATGGTCTTAGGCGACCCCTGTGAAAGGGTCGTTCGACCCCCAAAGGGGTCGCGACCCACAGGTTGAGAACCGCTGGTCTAAACATTTTCTGTTTCTCTTGGCTGCCCCTTTCCTGGTTCTTTAGTTCAACCAGGTTTTTCTTTGTTTTTCGGTGCCTATTGGTTTTTCTGGGTTGATGGCTTCTTCAGCTCTAAGTCTGGAATGTATGAGGCCAGAAGAAAACACAAGGACCTTACTACCATGCCATGAGGTTCCTGGCCACTCTGCCTTCGGCTCCTCACATTTCAGAGTCTTCTCGGGTTTCTATTGTACATGATGTCCAGAGTTTTTAGATGTCCTTAGCAGGAGGAACAGGAAAAGCATGTCTATTCCGTTATCCCAGAAGCAGAAGTCCCCCGTACGTTATTTTTTCCATTTCATAAATGAGGAAACAGATATGTGTGTCCCAAATCACAGGATTCTAAGTAGGATACAGAATAATTACCAGGGAGCTACTCCTCCTACCAGAAACCAGGGAGTCCCATAACATATAAGAGCCAGCAGTAGAGACCTACCACAGGCTGTGTGCCCCATATCACACAGCAGGTAAAACGCAGAATGGGAATGTGATCTCACATTGGTGTGACTCTATACCTGGTACTCTCCTCTGCAACACAGCCCATAGGGCCTAAGTCCAAATACGAGAAGAGTGGTTATATGAGATAAAGATTAGACTTACTTCTCGTGGATTCACAGAGAAGAGCTGTCCAATCAGAGAGCAGAACCCATTCATCAGCAATGCTATCAAACAAGGATTCTAAAGGCATGGTTCATGGACTATCTGCATAAGAATGTTAACCATGTCTGTTAGAAATGCAAATACTGAGGTGATTGTGTGTGTGTGTCCCCTGAAAATTGCTAATCACTGCTACAAAGAAAAACTCAGGGAAAATTCCATGACCTCTTGGAGCTCCTCAAACTAAGACTGTGATTCTCTTGAGGGAATTGCCCCAGTCAGCCCACATGGGTGTTAGCCTATGTTGCTATTTCAGTTTCTGATAAAACTAGCCTGGTGAGCAAGGCAACCCAGTCCTGGCTTCTGGGAACATGACATGAGCCTTGGGCATCAGGGAGCTTCCTCCAGGGGAAGGACGATTGGAGGAAGAGGCGGGGGAGGGATAGACCTAGTCAGAAGTGGCAGGCAGTAGGAGACTAATGGGATTAGTACTTGACATTCATTAGCCAAGGATGCTGGAGCCTTGCCAGTCCTCTCCAGAAGATGGCCCCAAATGCCCTCTTAATAGCATTAAGTGAAACTACAAATCAAAGATGCTAGCTGATCAATCTCCTTGGGGTTTCTCTACAGACACCGCTGTGGGGGTGGGGATTATCCTTCAGGGGGCTGCCACTGCTTCTCTGCCAGCAGAAGATGGCCCCAAATGCCCTCTTAATAGCATTAAGTGAAACTACAAATCAGAGATGCTAGCTGATCAATCTCCTTGGGGTTTCTCTACAGACACCGCTGTGGGGTGGGGATTATCCTTCAGTGGGGCTGCCACTGCTTCTCTGCCAGCAGCTGCAGCATTTGGTCAACTTGGCTCCTTCCCTCTCCTCTGATCTGGAAGGAAGGAGCCAAACAAGCAGGTCTGGCTATGGTCAAAGCTTATTTCTTATCCCATCCTACCCACCCCACCCCATAGCACAAAGCCACCTTTCAAGGGGGAGCCAGGCAGAGAACACGATTTATTTATTTGCTTCTTAAATTTATGTTTAATGATAGTTGACACACAATATTATATTAGTTTGAGGTGTACAGCATAGTAATCAGACATTAATATACCTTACGAAGTAATCACCTCAATAAGAGTAGTACCCACCTGACCCCATATATAAATATTACAGTATTATTGACTATATTCCCTGTGCTGTACTTTACATCCCTGTGACTATTTTTATAGCTGGCAATTTGTACTTCTTAATCCCTTTCACCTTTTCTGCCCATTCCCCCATCCCACCTCCCATATGGCAACCATCAGTTTGTTCTCTGTACCTATAAGTTTGTTTCTATTTTGTTTGTTCATTTAGTTCCTTTTTTGCGATTCCACATATAAGTGAAATCATATGATATTTGTCTTTCTCAGTCTGAGTTATTTCACTTAGCAAAATACCCTCTAGGTCCATCCATGTTGTCACAAGATTTCATTCTTTTTATGGTTGAGTAATATGCTATTGTATATACTAGTATATACCACATCTTCTCTATCCATCCATCTACTGATGGACGCTTAGATCGCTTCTATATCTTGGCTATTGTACCTAGTGCTGCATATCTTTTCAAATTAGTGTTTTGGGTTTCTTCAAATAAATACCCAGAAGTGGAATTGCTGGGTCATATGGCATTTCTATTTTTTAATATGTTTTTATTGATTTATTATTTTATTTTTAAAATTAAATTTATTGCGGTGACATTGGGTAACATATAGGTTTCAGGTGTGGGTTTCTATGTTACATCTGTATATTGCACCATGTGCTCACCACCCAAAGTCAAATCCTCTCCTGTCACCTGTTTTTATTGATTTCAGAAAGAGAGGAAAGGAGAGGGAGAGAGAGAGATAGAAGCATCGATGAGAGAGAAACATTGATTGGCTACCTCCTGCATGCCCCCTACTGGGGAATGAGCCTGCAACCCGGGCATGTGCCCTGACCTAGAATCGAGCCAGCAACCTTTTGGTGCATGGGTTGACACTCAACCACTGAGCAACACTGGCCAGGCTGGTAGTTCTATTTTTAATTTTTTTTGAGGAACCCTCATACTGTTTTCCCATGGCCACAAAATTTAGGTTGGACAGAGAACTCGTTATGGAATGGGACCAGGTAGGACTTCCTTTTCCTGAATGAGCCTGAGCCCAGGTTCCTTGAGAATCCCTGAGGCCTCAGATTGCGAAGAGGGAGCCCTCATCCATTGGGCACCACTCCTCCTTCCAAGGCCAGGCTCTGGGGCTGGGAACCTACTCTGAAGCCCATTTGGGACTTAGAGACTTAGAGTCTTGGCGACCTGAGCTACTTCCCATCTCTTTCAGCGTGTCATTCATCACCGTTCTTGACTCTGCCTGATAGAAATTCCTTGGAATCTCCAGCAGAGGCCCTGCTGCCTCGTCAGACCACTTACGTTCTCCACCGCCTTGGCCTAGCCAACGGGGTTTAATGGTGATCCATCATCCTCCGCTCCTCATGACAAGCCTTGATTACCTCGTCCCCCATGTCCTTCCTTTCTCCTAGGAAGAAGGATTGGGGAGTGAGAGCAGACAGTTAAGCAGTGAGGGCTCCTGTGGAGTGGCTGAGGCTCCGAGGGGACCAGAGCTGGTGTGCCAGGTGGGAAGCACCTCTGCTCCCAGCATGCTTCTGTGTCAGCAGCAACCGTCAACTCTGCCAGCCAGAATCTCATTGGCCAGGCCTTGTGTCCTGCCAGGAACAGAGTCTTTGCTCCTCGCTGAGACCAATCAGCTGTACAGTCAGCAGCAGAGTGGGCCAAAAGCAATTTCTTCACGACATTTCCAAGGGAGGGTAAGATTTAGCTCATTGTGCATTTCTCTGGGCTCCCTGAGGGTTTGATGGCATCCAAACCCACAGCCAGCTGCACCTCAAAGGTGGGTGGTGCATGTGCATGTATGTGTGCTTGTGCATGTGCTGTGTGTGTGTGTGTGGGGGTATAGTCCGACTGAAGACTTCCACAAACAGTTTTGCCCTGAGGGTTTGATGGCATCCAAACCCACAGCCAGCTACACCTCAAAGGTGGGTGGTGCATGTGCATGTGTGTGCTTGTGTGCATGTGCTGTGTGTGTGTGTGTGGGGGTATAGTCCGACTGAAGACTTCCACAAACAGTTTTGCATGCAACAGCAAGCACAGGTGCTTCCAGGTGCCGATGAATAATCCTGTCTATATTACATCAAAACGGGAAATCAATTCTGGTAATTACCCTATTTCCTCCATTTCAATATGCCATTGATTATAAGATGCATCATGGATTTAATAACTGCTTCAAAAAAGGGAAACTTTGCAATAAACATGTACGTCTATTTTAAGACACCCTTATTTTAGAAATGTAAAATGTGTGCAGGGGAAGGGGGAGATGCAAGTTATAATTAAGAGAAAATGGTAATTGGGAGATACTCAAACCAATTGCCTGGTTCAATTCCCAAGTAAATGTAGTCATCGTGCTTTATTGATTATTTATTGGTCTGTACTGTGAGAGAGAACCTTTTTTCATTGATTTTAGAGAAAGAGGAAGGGAGGGGGGAGAGAAAGAGCAAGAGAGAGAGAGAAACATTGATGTGAGAGAGAAACATCAATCAGCTGCCTCTTGCATGCCCCCACAAGGGATTGACCCTGAAACCCAGGCATATGCCCTAACCAGGAATTAAACCAGTGACCTGTTGATCCATGGGTCGACTCTCAACAACTGAGCCACACCGGCCGGGTGAGAGAGAACCTTTTTAGATGACAGATTTTTGTGTGTCAGTGGGCGCCCTGCCTGGGGGTGGTCTTCATGGCCCAGACATGGATTGCCACTATTACCTCTGCTTTTATTATTTTGGCAGGAACAGACACATGGCCTCACCTAACCGCAAGAGAAACTGGGAAATGTAGTCTAACTGTGTGTCCTGGAAGACAAAGAATTGGGTTTGATGATCAGCCAGCAGCAACTGCTTAAATCTCTCCAGGTATGAGATTTTAGAAATCATTTTCCTCTTTTCTCTACCAGTTTTGGTTGGTATACAGCAATTTCATGGTTAAGAAGAAATGGCTCATTCTTCAAAAAGTAAAACATCGAATGACCATGTGACCCTGCTATTCTACTCCTAGGTATATGACCAGAAGAATTTAAAACAGTCCTCAAACAAATATTTATACATGTACATTCACAGTAGTACTATTCCCAATAGCCAAACAGTGGAAACAACCCAAATGTCCATCAATGGAATGAATGGATAAACAAATTGTGGTATATGTATGGAACATATGTGGTATATGTATGGAACCATAAAAAGGAATTAAATACTGTTACATGTTACAAGATAGATAAACTTCAAAAACATGCTAAATGAAAAAAAGACACAAAAAGTCACATATTGCATGATTCCATTTATATAAAATGTCCAGATAGGGAAATCCATAGAGACATAGAGCAGACTAGTGAGTGCCGGTAGCTAGAGAAAGGGGGCGTGGAGAGTGCTGCTCTATGGACAGCGGCTCCTTTGGAGGTGAGGACCATGTTTTGAAAGCCAATAGAGGTGGTGGTTACATGACATTGTGAATGTACTAAATGCCACTAAATGGTTGGCTTTTCAATGGTTAATGTTACGTTGTGTAAATTTCGCCTCATTAAAAAATTGTTATGATTCTAAAAAAAGAGTAAGTGGGCTTTTAAATGTTTGTTTTTAGTGACGCTCAGCTTTTACCTGGCATTCTTTGCTCATTTTTCTGGTCTGTATCACATAAAATGATGCATGTCATCTTGACCTGGTCCAGCAAGTCACGCCATCCTGTCTGTACTCCCTTTAAAGACACTGGGGAACTAACTGACTTATTTTTCCTTAACTCCGTGGACTCTCCCCTTGGGTTTAGTTTCTGACAATAGAAAATGCGTTTCTAATATAGAGAATGATTCTCTGCCAGAGATCATTTGCTGAACAATGATGAGTGACATACCTGGACTTGATACATTTACTTAGCTAATGTCCTCACTTCCATCCACTTCTGGGGCTTCTTAGCTGCCTTTGCACCATGCCTGCCTCACACAGCAGCTTCTCCTCCACCCCTGTCCCCTGGGTGCTGTTTAGGAGCTTGGGGCATAGGATCCAGTGCCAATCTTTTCTGTGTGCATGATCCTAGTCAAATATCCCTTAAGTAATAAAACTAATTTTAAAAAATTAATCCTGTTCTGCTCATGCTTCAAATAAAATAGCACTTACCATGCTGCTTTGTACTTCTTTTGATATAGGACTTTTTATTCCTCTAGACTGTAAGCCCTTTGAGGGTACAAACCATGCTTTAATTGCTGCTATACTCTTAGCACTTAACATAGTGCTGGTATATAGTACTGCTCAATAAATCTGAATTAAGTGAATGAACAAAATGTAATAACACAGAGGTAAGAAAAAGATTATTTTCTCAAAAGAATAAACAACTTGATTGGAGCCATTCTCTTGTAGAGAGAGCAGCTGTTACCTGAAATCAGTGGATTGTTCATTCTGGAGACCAGCACAAAAGAACCATTATTTAGGGCGATAAGCAGGCAGGCTCAGGGAAAGAAATGAGCTGTGTTATAAATGGGAAGCTAGGGCTCAGGAAACAGTGGGAGGGGCAGGCCAGGGGTGGTCAGAATGCCTGCCTCACACAGCAGCTTCTCCTCCACCCCTGTTCCCTAGGTGCTGTTTAGGAGCGTGGGGCATAGGTTTGTTGGGGTTTTTTTCAATATGTTTTTATTGATTTCAGAGAGGAAGGGAGAGATAGAAACATCAATGATGAGAGAGAATCATTGATTGACTGCCTCCTGCAGCTTCCTACTGGGGATTGAGCCTGCAACCTGGGCATGTGCCCTTGACTGGAATCAAACCTGGGACCCTTCAGTCTGCAGGCTGACGCTCTATCCACTGAGCCAAACCAGCTGGGGCAGGACGTAGGTATGTTTAAGCCTTCCTAGGATCCAGTGCCAATCTTTTCTGTGTGCATGATCCTAGTCAAATATCCCTTAAGTAATAAAACTAATTTTCAAAAATTAATCCTATTCTGCTCATGCTTCAAATAAAATAGCACTTATCATGTTGCTTTGTACTTCTTTTGATATAGGACTTTTTATTCCTCTAGACTGTAAGCCCTTTGAGGGTACAAACCATGCTTTAATTGCTGCTATACTCTTAGCACTTAACATAGTGCTGGTATATAGTACTGCTCAATAAATCTGAATTAAGTGAATGAACAAAATGTAATAATGCAGAGGTAAGAAAAAGATTATTTTCTCAAAAGAATAAACAACTTGATTGGAGACATTCTCTTGTAGAGAGAGCAGCTGTTACCTGAAATTAGTGGATTGTTCATTCCTGGAGACCAGCACAAAAGAACCATTATTTAGGGCGATAAGCAGGCAGGCTCAGGGAAAGAAATGAGCTGTTATAAATGGGAAGCTAGGGCTCAGGAAACAGTGGGAGGGGCAGGCCAGGGGTGGTCAGAATAGAGGAATCAGTCCTACTCACTGGGGCAGGGTGGGCAGGAGGCAGTGGGGAAATCCAGCCAGGTAGTGTACTCTGAGTGTGTGCAGATGGGCATAGGGGGTGGTGTAGGTGCTGGTCTAAGGGAAGCTTATCAAAGGGAAAAAGAGAGGACCCCGGCATTACTGGACCGTGGTAAGGAATGGGGGTTGGGGGGAGGGCTATGAGCAAGGGGAACTGAAAGCAGGCTGGGCTCTGGGCAAGGTTTCTGGACAGAATGATAGAATTAGGAATCCTGGGAGGATGGATGGGAGTAAGACTTTGGAGGACCTGGGTCCTTGCCAAGTTTTTTTGGGCAGATAGTCAGGCCTACATGGGGGTGTTTGGTGAGAACCTGGACATAAACAAGGCCCAAGAACCAGGTCATGCCATCTGAGCAGGACTGGGTGACTTATGCCTGAATTGCTAAATTCGGTCAGGCTTCTTAAACTCCCATGACTGAAGCCAGGATGATCTCTGGGGTTGAGGCAGGATCGAGCATGCAGATGAGACTCGAGTGCTAGATTCTAGGGTCTAGAGCAGGGGTGGGCAAACTTTTTGACTCGAGGGCCACAATGGGTTCTTAAACTGGACCGGAGGCCGGAACAAAAAGCATGGATGGAGTGTTTGTGTGAACTAATATAAATTAAACATTATTACATAAAAAGGTTTGGTTTTTTTTTTTTTTTTAGTTTTATTCATTTCAAACGGGCCGGATCCGACCTGCGGGCCGTAGTTTGCCCACGGCTGGTCTAGAGTCTCTTGCAGTCCCCACTAGAGAGTGGGGACATTGGGCCTTCAGGGAGACAGAAGACATTAAAAGTTAAACCTGTGGCCCTAACCGGTTTGGCTCAGTGGATAGAGCATTGGCCTGCGGACTGAAGAGTCCCAGGTTCGATTCCGGCCAAGGGCATGTACCTTGGTTGTGGGCACATCCCCAGTGGGAGGTGTGCAGGAGGCAGCTGATCGATGTTTCTCTCTCATTGATGTTTCTAACTCTCTATCCCTCTCCCTTCCTCTCTGTAAAAAAATCAATAAAATATATTTTAAAAAAAAGTTAAACCTGTGAAAAGCAGACTAATGTGGTTGCCACGCTGGATTCAATGTTCAGGCTGGGTACCTATAAATTACTCCACTGGATTTAATGTATATACACTTTAAAGATTTTCTTTCCTCATAGCAAAGTAGATTTACAGTCTGGATGACTGAGCTTGTTAATTCTAATAACCCTCCCTAGAACGGAAGCATATGAAAGGTTGTGAATTAAGGGCCTGTATCCTGAGGTACAAGAAGAGAGAGGAGCCCTCCCCAGTACCCACAGCTACGGTGGTTGTGGGGTGTCTTCTGGTAACTGTGCCCTGAGAGGTTTCTCAGGCCTCTTCTCCCCATCTATCCAGGGGGCGTGCCTCCATCCCTGAGGACTCCAGACCAACAGATCCGCCTGTTCTCTTACTCAGTGGTTGGGTTGTCCAGCTCTTCCTGAATGCGTTCACCCAAGCTCTCAGTAGAGCATCCCAGGCCAGTACCTGGGAGACCCGTAGTAAATTCTGAATGGAGGGCTGGCTTGGCTGACGTCTGGCTGCCTTCTTGCCTGCCTGTCATTTGAGTGTGGTTCTCCAGTCTTCTCAACAATTTTATTCGTTAGCTAGCATTTTCCAATAAACTCTCTTTTCAGATTATATCAGTCTAAGGCAGTCCTGATGTTTACAATGAGAAGCCCTAACAGATCTAGAAATGGGTATCTTAGGCGGTGACAAAAAAACCAATCTGTCAGAGAAATGAGGGATTTGTAATCTGCCTGGTTGGAGCCGAAGGCAGTGGAAGCCCAGCCGGGAACTCTAACAGCCTGTGGCTCAAGTGGCAAAACAGGTCCTTAAGTTATCACCAGTGGTCCCTGGAGTGAAGCGCCCCCTGCAGGCAAGGATCTGGAGCCTCTGGAGTAGATGCTCTTGGTGCCCCTGGCACATTCCTGCCCTTCTGAGTGCACTGCAGCTGGGACAGTCACATGCCAGCATGTGCCAGTGTCTTCGCTTTTTTGCCCCAAGGCTGTCTCCAAAGCCACAGAAGAACATTCAGCCCACGATCAGTGCAGCCAGCAGATCCAATGATGATCAATGTCTGTGGTCCATCAGGATTCCACATGGAGCCATTGGAGAGCACCAGCTGGAGAATCAGAGTGGGTTTGGAACAATGTTAACGTTCTATCCAGTCATTATTCATCTGAGAAATAGCTCTTGACTTTTCAGTAGACTAAACATCAGAACATAGGACACCTGGTGACCTTGCAACCCAAAGTTGTCCATTAGGAACTGAGTGTGACCTCACCAACAAGCCAAGAAGGGTGTGCCCAGCACCACGTACCATCAGGTGGAAGCAGTAGATTTGGGACTGGTCAAGCTGGGCCTGAAGACATGAGCAAGTTGCACGTGGCCACACTCCAAACTACCAGCTCCTTTCACACTCCTCCCCACCCTCAGCACACATCTGTGACCTCATGGAGAGCTCCCTATGACCAGGTGACTGTGGGGGGAAAATGGAGCTTGATTTACAGGTAGCTCTTCACATTGTGCTGATATGACACAGTGAGGGACTGCTGTGGCATTAGAAGTGCCCTCAGGGCCAGTCTTGAAGGACATCAGAGAAGGCAAGTCCTCCTAGGGACAGAACTTTAAGAAGTATATATTTTTTACAATATGTTTTTATTGATTTTAGAGGAAAAGGAAGTGAGGGAGGGAGAGAGATTGATGAGAGAGAAACATTGTTAGGCTGCCTCCTGCACATCCCCTACTAGGGATCAAGCCCAAACCTGGGCATGTGCCCTGACCTGGAATCAAACCAGCAACCTCGGTGCATAGAGAACTGCTCAATCCACTGAGCCACACTGGCCAAGCCAGTGGTATGTTTTGGCCACTCTTCCCAAGAGAAGAGAGGACCTGCCCTAACCAGTTTGGCTCAGTGGATAGAGTGTCAGCCTGTGGACTGAAAGGTCGCAGGTTCAATTCCAGTCAAGGGCCTGTACCTTGGTTGTGGGCACATCCCCAGTAGGGGGTGTACAGGAGGCAGCTGATCAATGTGTCTCTCTCATCGATGTTTCTTACTCTCTATTCCTCTCCCTTACTCTATAAAATATCAATAAAATATATTTTTCAAAAAATGATCAGAGTGTCAAGAGAGAGAGAGAGAGAGAGAGAGAGAAAGCGAGGACCTGAGGGAAGCGTCCAGAGTGACTCATGAGCAGTAGTTAATGGTTTGGCTGGGTGGCCAGGGATGGGGAAGGACTCAGAGGGAATTAGTGACAAGGAGGTTTAGGGAAGGGATCTGTGAGTGGACCCAGACCCCCAAATTACAATACTCTCTAGTCTCCCTCCCGCTTCCCATACACCTCCCCACTGTCCTCCAAGTGATCTTGCTAATCCGATCATGTCATTCCCCTGACAAGAATTTTAATGACTCCATGTTGCTTAGAAGATAAAATATAAGCCCTTTCCATAACCTGTGCCTCGTCTATTTATCCAGCTTCCTCTCTTACCGTTCCTTCCCTAACACTATGTTCCAGCTGATTCCCAAAAGCATGTCTTTCTTTCTCAGGCTGCTGGGCATCTGCACATGTTTTTCCCTGAGCCCAGTAGACTCTGCCCTCTGCATCCTCCAGGCCTCAGCTCAGAGACACCCTCCTCAGAAAGGCTGCCAGGTGCCCCTGGGAGATTCAGACGCCACCCAGATTCAGCCTCTGGAGCTACATTGCCTGTGCTTCAGTCCTGGCTCTGTCACTTAACCTTGGGCATGCGACTTTGCCCTTCTAGGCCTCTATTTTCTTGCCTGTAAAATGGGCAACGCTGGCGTGAAGATTCATATATAAACATGAATACCACACAATAATACATAGTAATTATGTTTATAAATAACAAGACATAAATAGATAAGCGGGAACTCTAACAGCCTGTGGCTCAAGTGGCAAAACAGGTCCTTAAGTTATCACCAGTGGTCCCTGGAGTGAAGCGCCCCCTGCAGGCAAGGATCTGGAGCCTCTGGAGTAGATGCTCTTGGTGCCCCTGGCACATTCCTGCCCTTCTGAGTGCACTGCAGCTGGGACAGTCACATGCCAGCATGTGCCAGTGTCTTCGCTTTTTTGCCCCAAGGCTGTCTCCAAAGCCACAGAAGAACATTCAGCCCACGATCAGTGCAGCCAGCAGATCCAATGATGATCAATGTCTGTGGTCCATCAGGATTCCACATGGAGCCATTGGAGAGCACCAGCTGGAGAATCAGAGTGGGTTTGGAACAATGTTAACGTTCTATCCAGTCATTATTCATCTGAGAAATAGCTCTTGACTTTTCAGTAGACTAAACATCAGAACATAGGACACCTGGTGACCTTGCAACCCAAAGTTGTCCATTAGGAACTGAGTGTGACCTCACCAACAAGCCAAGAAGGGTGTGCCCAGCACCACGTACCATCAGGTGGAAGCAGTAGATTTGGGACTGGTCAAGCTGGGCCTGAAGACATGAGCAAGTTGCACGTGGCCACACTCCAAACTACCAGCTCCTTTCACACTCCTCCCCACCCTCAGCACACATCTGTGACCTCATGGAGAGCTCCCTATGACCAGGTGACTGTGGGGGGAAAATGGAGCTTGATTTACAGGTAGCTCTTCACATTGTGCTGATATGACACAGTGAGGGACTGCTGTGGCATTAGAAGTGCCCTCAGGGCCAGTCTTGAAGGACATCAGAGAAGGCAAGTCCTCCTAGGGACAGAACTTTAAGAAGTATATATTTTTTACAATATGTTTTTATTGATTTTAGAGGAAAAGGAAGTGAGGGAGGGAGAGAGATTGATGAGAGAGAAACATTGTTAGGCTGCCTCCTGCACATCCCCTACTAGGGATCAAGCCCAAACCTGGGCATGTGCCCTGACCTGGAATCAAACCAGCAACCTCTTGGTGCATAGAACTGCTCAATCCACTGAGCCACACTGGCCAAGCCAGTGGTATGTTTTGGCCACTCTTCCCAAGAGAAGAGAGGACCTGCCCTAACCAGTTTGGCTCAGTGGATAGAGTGTCAGCCTGTGGACTGAAAGGTCGCAGGTTCAATTCCAGTCAAGGGCCTGTACCTTGGTTGTGGGCACATCCCCAGTAGGGGGTGTACAGGAGGCAGCTGATCAATGTGTCTCTCTCATCGATGTTTCTTACTCTCTATTCCTCTCCCTTACTCTATAAAATATCAATAAAATATATTTTTCAAAAAATGATCAGAGTGTCAAGAGAGAGAGAGAGAGAGAGAGAGAGAAAGCGAGGACCTGAGGGAAGCGTCCAGAGTGACTCATGAGCAGTAGTTAATGGTTTGGCTGGGTGGCCAGGGATGGGGAAGGACTCAGAGGGAATTAGTGACAAGGAGGTTTAGGGAAGGGATCTGTGAGTGGACCCAGACCCCCAAATTACAATACTCTCTAGTCTCCCTCCCGCTTCCCATACACCTCCCCACTGTCCTCCAAGTGATCTTGCTAATCCGATCATGTCATTCCCCTGACAAGAATTTTAATGACTCCATGTTGCTTAGAAGATAAAATATAAGCCCTTTCCATAACCTGTGCCTCGTCTATTTATCCAGCTTCCTCTCTTACCGTTCCTTCCCTAACACTATGTTCCAGCTGATTCCCAAAAGCATGTCTTTCTTTCTCAGGCTGCTGGGCATCTGCACATGTTTTTCCCTGAGCCCAGTAGACTCTGCCCTCTGCATCCTCCAGGCCTCAGCTCAGAGACACCCTCCTCAGAAAGGCTGCCAGGTGCCCCTGGGAGATTCAGACGCCACCCAGATTCAGCCTCTGTGAGCAGTAGTTAATGGTTTGGCTGGGTGGCCAGGGATGGGGAAGGACTCAGAGGGAATTAGTGACAAGGAGGTTTAGGGAAGGGATCTGTGAGTGGACCCAGACCCCCAAATTACAATACTCTCTAGTCTCCCTCCCGCTTCCCATACACCTCCCCACTGTCCTCCAAGTGATCTTGCTAATCCGATCATGTCATTCCCCTGACAAGAATTTTAATGACTCCATGTTGCTTAGAAGATAAAATATAAGCCCTTTCCATAACCTGCGCCTCGTCTATTTATCCAGCTTCTTCTCTTACCAGTTCCTTCCCTAACACTATGTTCCAGCAGATTCCCAAAAGCATGTCTCTCTTTCTCAGGCTGCTGGGCATCTGCACATGTTTTTCCCTGAGCCCAGTAGACTCTGCCCTCTGCATCCTCCAGGCCTCAGCTCAGAGACACCCTCCTCAGAAAGGCTGCCAGGTGCCCCTGGGAGATTCAGACGCCACCCAGATTCAGCCTCTGGAGCTACATTGCCTGTGCTTCAGTCCTGGCTCTGTCACTTAACCTTGGGCATGCGACTTTGCCCTTCTAGGCCTCTATTTTCTTGCCTGTAAAATGGGCAACGCTGGCGTGAAGATTCATATATAAACATGAATACCACACAATAATACATAGTAATTATGTTTATAAATAACAAGACATAAATAGATAAGTAAATAACACAGGAGCAGACATGTGAAAGGAGACTTGAGCACAGCATAGTGAGCGCTCAGTATGTGCGAAGTATTGCTATGAGGTGCCCCTTCACCCCCTGGTATTCTGTGCACGTGCCCACGCAGACAGGTCAGGGTGCACTGCCCTCTGGTGTGTTTCTATGCCTGGCATCTAGCAGGCTCTCAGTAAATACTTGCAGGATAAACAAATGATGTTTGGAATCAGACAGTCCCAGCTCAGCCACTTACTAAAAACTATGGGCAAGTCACATGGTAAGTGGAAGCTTCAGTTTCTCATCGGCAAAGTAAGGACAAGAGCTCAAATATTAAGCCAAACCATAGAAAGAGCCATCTTGTAGGTCATAAACAATCGGATACCAGCCATTTCATTTGCTTCAACACAATTCTCACATCTTAGGGCCGAAGGGAAGCCCAAATGAGACAATGGATGAGAGAGTGACTCATAAGCTTTAAAGGGGTCATACAAAGGTTGGTATTATTATCCAATATGTCTGGCAGACTCGAGTTGATAAATTAGAGTAGAAGAATCATTTCATTGAATTCTGTTTGTGTAATAAATGGGAATTTGTAGAAACAAATTTAAATTTTAAATTCACATACAGGTGGCATCAAGCTGGATTTGAACTCAGGACTGTGAGTAGAAGGGCCATGGGCCTCGGTGG